GTTAAGTGTCTGACTTTGGCTCAGGTCATGATCTCGCAGTCTGTGGGTTCAAGCCCCGCGTCGGGTTCTGTGCTGACAGCTCAGAGCCTGGAGCCTGCTTCAGATTCTGTGTCTCCCTTTCTCTCTACCCCTCCTCTGCTCATGCTCTGTCTCTCTCTGTCTCTCAAAAATGAATAAACATTAAAAAATGTTTTAAATCATTATTTTAGTCTTTCAAAATATGTTCTTTTGAGCATCTACTAACTGCCAGGGATTATACCCCTCATTTCAGAAAGAAAGACAATGAAACAGGCAATCACTATCCAGTTTGATGAAAGTTATGAAAAACAAAATACAGAATTCTATGGGGCAACTACTCTGGTGATGGGAAGGGATGGTCAGAGAAGGTTTCTCAGAGGAAGTGAAATCTCATTTGATAAAAGAACGTGGACTTTCAATTCTAGCCATAAACAAATTATGAAAGCTAGATAAAACACACGTAACAACTATTTTCAGGCACTGGGCAGCAATCAATGCAGAGCTCGGTACTCCGAAAAGGCAAGCAGAGGAGCTAAATCCACACTCACCCCGGCCCTCTACATGAGGGAACTTTCCTTATTTGGGCACAGGGGAATAAAATCCAGAGAGCAGCAGCCGTGCTGAGTGGAGGAAACAGTGATTAAGGCTGGGGCTGAAACTAGGATTTGGTAGGGGCAGGCAGAAGGGAGACAACCACAGAAAAAGAGCCCCCCAAACTCTGCTAACATTTTCCCTCAGGATCCTTGGCTGACTCCTAAGCTGCGTATGCATCCTGTGAGACTCTAGAAAATCTGCTGGTGGGGAAGAGTTTTTAGAGGCTGTCCGATGCCTGGGAGATGTTGGGGTTCATGCCTGATCTGAATGGAGAAACTTTGATGACTATTGTGGGCTTTCAGGGGAGATCCCAGAAAATCCATGCCTTAGGAATTAAGGCCACACCCTAAGAGGAAGGACAAAACTAGATGATAGCTGCCCTAACCAAGGCCCAAACAAAGCCATGGTAAGATCTAGGTGATTTCATCAGTATTTTAATTGCCTCTCAGAACAAAATATATAATTCTTTATTTTATTTTATCCTATTTTATTTTATTTTATTTTATTTTACAATGCTTATTTATTTATTTTGAGAGAGAGAGAGAGAGAGAGAGAGAGAGAGAAGGAAAGAGAGGGAAAGAGAGAGAGAGAGAGAGAGAGAGAGAGAGAGAGCAAGCATGGAAGGGGCAGAGAGAGACGGAGAGAGAATCCCAAGCAGGCTTCATGCTGCCAATGCAGAGCCCAATACAGAGCTTGAACCCATGAACTGTGAGATCATGACCTGAGCCAAAACCAAGAGTTGGATGCTTAACAAACTGAGCCACCTAGGTGCCCTGAAAATGTATAATTCTTTTAAAGAAGGTAACATAATCTATAGCCTCTACTGTGTAACATTCACAATGTCCAGCATAGACTAAAATAAAAAATTACTAAACAGGCAAAGAATCAGGATAATCAACTGATAATCATAAGATAAACAGTCATTAGAAGCAGACCCAGAGATGATCCAGATATTGGAGTTAGCCAAGGACTTCAAAATAACTATGATTAGTATGTAAAAAAAAAAAAGACTAAAAAATCAACAAATGGGAGAAAGATTATTTTAATAGAATTAGGATCTATAAAAAAGAATCAAATTGAAATTCAGGAGCTGCAAAATAAAATATCTGTAATTAAGAATATATCAGATGCATTTAGCTACACAGTATACCTCATGTACATAGAAACAGAATTCCTGAGAATATATCAATGGAAAAATTTTTTTAGAAAAATCAATGAGTATAGTTAACCATATTAACAAAATAAAGGAGAAGAACCATATAACACTGCAGTCTTTGCAGAAAAAGCACCTGATAAAATTCAGCACTTACTCACACACACACATATACACACACAACCTCAGAAAAGTAGGAATAGGAAAAAAAACTTCCTTAATCTGAAGGTATCTATAACAAATGAATAAGCTATAGTCAAAATCTTATTTAATTGTGAAATACTGTAAGTTTTCCCTCTTATAAAGGAAATAAGAAAAGTGTGTTCAATGTCACAATTTCTATTCAACTTTGTACTGAAGGTCCTGACCATTGCAATTAGGCAATTTAAATAAATAAAAGCTACAAAGACTGGAAAACAAGAAATAAAACTGTAATTATTTCAAATGATCTGATTGTATACCCAGGAAATTCAGAAGAATAGTATCAAACTATTAGAAATAATAAGTTAATTTCATAATATTGCTGGATATAATGTAAGGATACAAAACCAACCATATTTTTATTTTTTTACATTTTGTTTTAGAGAGAGAGTGTGTGCGAGCCGGGGAAAAGGGGCAGAGGAAGAGAGAGAGAGAGAGAGAGAGAGAGAGA